CACCAGCATGGCTAAGACATTGAGACATTGAATATTTGCCATTGATTCTACTTGAGTATAATTCATCTACTCAGGTGTCTGAGCCACACTGGTGTCTTAGCCACACTGGTGCTTTTAACCATGCCATTAGAATATACATATGTACAATAAGCAGAATCAATAGCAGATATTTAATATCTCAATGTCTTAGCCATGCTGGTGTCTTAGCCATAACATCAGAATACACCTTTGTACAATTACATTCCATTGCTTTAATACCTAATAATCAGCTAATATGACTTTGGGCAGCTAAGACTAAGGTGGAAAAGTGGTATTATAGGCCAATTCCAACCCAATGTTTGCAAGGTCTTATGCCTTAGTGGTATAGTGTGCTGTGGTTACTTTCAGGCTGCAGGTTTGATTCCTGCCTGCGCCATTTTTTGGGCTTTTCAGTGTCTTAGCCACTCATGGGTGCTTCTGAGTGGCTAGTCTAGTGTAACTTAATAAGTTCCCGTGTCTAGGCCGCCAAACTGAATCAGCTCAATGCCGCGTTCGATGGCCACACCACGAACCGCATTTCGTCGCTCGGTCAGAGGCCGGCCAAGTACGTCGACGCCACACAAAAAAGGGCTCGCTGTCACCAAATATTGTGTGTGCCTTTAACACACTGATTATCAGGTGGCGTCGGCGAGTGGGGATGAGGAGACGGAATATTGGCGGATGCGCATTCTGGAGAGGAGCTGGAGGATATGGCAAATGGGACATTGACGTTTGGACAGAGCCTTCTTCGCGTAGCTTCTCGACGGGTCCTTTGACGCATCTTTGGAAGCTCAAGTGCTGGCCGGCTTGCAGAGGATGCGCAGGCCCCGAAGTCATGATCGTTAGCCGAGACAGTTCCGCGTATCTGTCGAGTGGCGTCGAAGCATTGAAAGGGCAGTTCGTAGGAAGGATGGTCGAATTAATAGAACGAATGGTGTTCTGTTCATGCGTCAGTTTTCATCTCAAAAGTGTGTCATCATATGCGCGCCTCTTGGCCAATTAGGAGGTTCAAGCAGGTGCGCACAAAATGGACGTCTCCTGACAGGCGGACCAGCGAAAAAGCATCAGTAAGCAAAACCGGGCAGTAAAAGCGAGATATGGATCCCACACAGCATGATAATTACCTTTTCACCGGCGCATCAAGTTGTGCTGCAAAGGCTCTACTTGAACACAGTCTCCAGAGCTGCGTCTGACTGGCGGCAGATGTTTGCACAGCCGATTCCCAGCTTCTTCTCCATCAGGCCTTGTCGTTTCCCACAGCTACAGGCAGATTAGTTAGCGACTATTTATCGTGGTACAGAGTAAGAGGATGTCGACTTTACGAAGCATCTCTCATAGCCATCTCCCGCTCAAAAAAAACCTCTAAAGCCGATATTCCCCTCGCCGCAAACAATGACCCGATTTCCGCTATGCTCAGCAATTAAAATATCACACAAACACAATATAGGGATACACTGGTATGTTATAATCCAGTCGTGTTTATCGCAGGCGAAGATGGCGTAAGACACCTTCATGGCATCTTGCCCTTTAGGTCCGAGGGCCGTTCAACAAAACGCATAGCGTTGACGGCAGGTAGACCTTCGTACGAGGCGGCGCTGATAGCTGTAAGCCTGTCTGTGCGCGGATGCTCCACTGCGGAGTCGACCGACCTGACCGCAGCGTTGAATCCTAGGAGAGCACTCAATTAATTTAAATGGATCATTTGAGGTACCGACATACTTTGGCCGCTGCCGGCGGAAGTAATCCTCTGAGCTAACTCTCCCGACGCGCCGGTGTTCGAGCCGTGTCCGTTTATGATGAAGAAAGACTCTTGGCGGCTTCTCGGCAACACTCCGTTCTGACAGGCAATGTCTCAGCGCACTCGATGACAGAGGGCTCTGTCTATTTTCCTGCGCTTGTCTGCCGCCCTCAGACCGCAGGTGAACGCCTTTGTCGAGGTGCTGCCTACATCCTGTGTTCCGGGAGATCTGTCAATGACCATTGTGAGCCGTACATGGTGCGAAGGAGAAAAAGCGATGAGGAGAAAGAACAAGAATGAGATAAGAGACATGCGAGAGGGGAAGTGAGTATTGGATGACATGAACAAATGCAAGGCAACTAGGAACCATGATCCGCCTGCCTCCATCATGAGCGTCAGATATACGGATCGCGTCTGATGGCGGCTGTCCGAGGGAGAGGCCATACAGTCGTCTTGCGGGTAGTATGGTGGGCGCGATGCGCTCTAGGTATCATAGAGAGGAGAGGGAAAGAAATGTCGTGAGTGTATGAAGACCGTGTTCTGCGGTTCTCGGCGCTTACTTTGAATAAATATCCTTCTACATCTGTCACGTCCTCCTCGACCGATGCAGCTTGCTCCTGGGCATAGGTTTGGCCACTGGTGTTTTGGTTCCTCCACATGTGCGCGTGAAGGAAGGCTGAGCCCTCTGTGCTTCTCCTGCTGCGCTCTGGGCTGAGCGCTGGACCCTCATGGCCATGGCCGTCGTCCGAGTGCCCATTGCAACCAGCGAAAGCTGTTCTTGCCATTTGTAGTATTGCTTTGCTTGGTCTTGCTGTCCCGATCGTGCCTCTTCCGGTGCTTATCATCAGCATCCTATTCTCTGACTTTTTTGACCACAGGGGCTCTCTTCTTTCCCTTCTGCTTATCTGTTGGCAGAGCCGTCGATGGATCAGGCAACTCACTCCTCCCAATCCCGACATTATCTTACGCACATAGTGCAGCACGGAAGACCCAGGTGCAGATGTCCAAAGCTAATGCAAGGAGAGCGCATCATAAATGTCTGGCTGCGACAGTGATAATGCATTGGTTGTGGCAGTCAATGTCGAAAGACACCCGGCGCGGCCTGAAGGCATGTTGCATCGGGAGGTTGCTGCGAGAGAAGCCAGCATTTTGCTCTGTTGTACCCAAGCTTTTTTGGTCGAGGGTGAACTGAACAGCGGTGGATACCATTGTACGAGTCGCTTGTCAAACATTGTTGTCTCCAGGTGCTTGATCACTGTGTCCAGAGGTTGCGATGGCTTTCCAGGACTTGAGTGAGCTAGAGCCGCGCAAAGCGTCAGCAATGTGTTAACATAAAATCCAAGATTAGACAAATGAGCACAGATATCACTGTTGGAAGAGAGATGTGAGCATTATCTGATAGAAGAGATTGCATCAGGTCTAAGTCTAACCTTCGCGCTCGCTGTACACATTCCAGGACATCTGTATGGTTGGCATGACAGCCATCATAACCATGAGGAGGATAAATATTCACTCTTGAGCGCTCCTGCAGCCAAGCGACTCGTTCTTTACCTTCAAGAATATAGGTCTGACATTCACGACGCCAAGATCAATCATGCCTTCACGTTGCTATCAGCATACAGAGTAGCGCGGATGGTGTTGGTGAGCAAGGATAAGGAGATGAAGCACTGCCGGACACACACTTGGGAGGAGTTAGATGGAAGCGGCGGATGAGACGTCAATTTCTGCCCCCCTCCCTCCTCCCCAGGATGTCGAGGGTGCCTAGACGTTTGACGAGGACATTCATGAGGCGATCGGTAGGGAGGGTGGTCAGAACTTGGGACAACGGAGCTAGCGATGTCTTGCTGCAGTGTCAGATAGTGTCTCATAAAAATACTGCAGCACGCGCACCTCTTGGCCAAGTAGAAGACTGGAGCGCACAAGAGCACGGTGGATATCTCTAGAGAGATACACAGGTAGACTGTCGAAGGCATCAATGAGTAAATTGGTAGAAAGGGAGGATAATATGGATTTCATACTGTAAGATGGCTGCCAGTCTCATGTTTCATGCCAGGGACTCGACGAAAAACTTGAATTCGCGCGAACGCATACGTCTTTTCGAGCTCTGGTGATACCACTCCGGTAGGTTCGTAAGTAAAGATGGCGCAACAGCACATTGATAGCTATTGCGGGTGATGGCAAACTACCATGGCCTTGTCGCTGCCACATATATGCCACTGACGAACAAACAGCGCATGATAGTTTTCTGTCCATCCTGGCAAAGCTTTGCCAGCATTGAGAATTTGGTAGAAAAACGAGTGCAGAATGTTAAAGTGCGCTAGAACCAGTCCAATCCACCGCCAAACTAACGCTACAGACCCTGTACACTCACCACCGACACTCAAAGTCCAGTGGCGCCGGTGCGTTGTCGCCATACGTCCAGTCCCAGGCTACTGACAAAGTCAATATTGTTCTAGATACAGTCCCTCAGTTAGATGTTTTGTTATTCTGATTGCTGAACGAGCATGAATCGTAGGTGTTTCGTATTCAAGGTACTGAAGGAGGCCGAAAGGCCCACTATGGGAAAGCCCAGGCTCTAAATAGACAATGACTAGATAAGATTGGCGCTTGAAGAGTAGTCATTAATCACTGCTCTTCAAGCGCCAATCTTATCTAGTTTTCCCTTCTTGCTATCTCGGGTCGGCCTTTCACCATAGTCATGCATGAGGGCAATGCCCACTGGCACTGGTACAAGCTGGAATTGACTGTAAGTATAATCTATCTGCGGAGAGAGTGTTTCCAAATAATGGCTAACTATAGCTACAGCAAATGACACGTAGGCTCTTATGTACACGCCCTGCGGGAATCGGTTTAAGGGAGAACTGCATGCGGCAGTGACGTTCTTGGGTGCTGACTATGACATCGCGGAAAGCTGTCAATCAATTTCAAGAATTCTGAGGAAGGCTAAAATACTTACCATTAATATTTGCAGTGCTTAACATGCACAGCAATCACAGCTTCTTCGGAGTCGGGGGCTCAGAGGTCTTCATGTGGGACGTTTGTTCCTGAACAATACCCTTATATACGGGCCATCAGTTATCCAGCATCCTCCATTGTGCCAAAATTGAGAATAGACGTTCAGGAACAGCTATAAAAATTCAATAAATCTTCACGCATTTCCAGAAAAGCAGCCCTGCAGTCCTCGTCAAACATTAAGTCTCCGCACTGTAGGTCTGTGTTTCTAACAACTCCTTGTTTTATTGTACTAGCCAGCTGCATGCTCTGATTCTAGATTTTCTCGAAGCAACGTCCTGAAGAATATCATCATATCCGTGCTCATCTTGCTGCAGGCACTGGCAATCAACCAAACCATCTTCGATTATTTGCTGAACGGCAGCAACGGTGGCGGATCACTTTAGGTATCATGATCTGATCAATCTGTTAGCATATGGTCAACGACATGGGCTTGTACTTGCTCTGGGAATGGGGGCTTGTAACAGGCCTGCAGTACCACTGACAGGCTGACCGTGGTAATGCCATCACTGTTGAGGGCTTGTTAGGTAGCCCTTCCTTGATCTACAACCAGGCATTTTTTGGTGCTCCGGTACCATGACTTAGACGCGAAGGGATTTAAAGCTCTATATTCCATTGGAAAACAAGGGATAAGTACTTGTGGATGGTACCATGACAGACGGTGTCATGCACCATAATTATAAGTATAGGAAAACTAAAGAAATAATAGGTATTCAAATCAAAAAGAAACCGCTTACTCAGAGCTGCAAAGTAAGCATAGACACTTAAGCTTACTAAAAGTGAATCAATGACTAATAATATGACTCAGCTTCTTAGTAATCTAGAAACTATGCTTAGTAAAGGTCTATGCTCAACAGCTATGAATTACCAAAATATAGTAATACTCTAACAAACATTAGTAATAGCTTACCAATACATTAGTAAAACAGACAGAAGGCTGACTAATACAGAAAAAATGCTTATTAATAAAAGTAGAAGTAGCTTAGTAATTACAGTAGAATAGAAGAGCCAGTTTTGCTATTGGCTAAGGAACAACAGGCTGAAAGGTATAAATAGGAGAGGTTCTCTGAGACACGAAAACACCAACCCACCAAGCACCACATACACTCTCAAGGATTTAGCTAGCAGCAAACCTGCAGTTAATCCCCTGAGCTCTTTAGCTCTCAGAGAATAGACTCCTTTCTTTAAAGCCTAGGAAATTCCTTAAGCACAGTAGAGCCTCTGACTTTCAAATAACCTGAAGGGAAACGCCCTTGGTATAGTGCACGAGTTCACTATTTGACTAACCCTAGACTGCGAGAGCTAGTGGCGTCATTATTTGAGACTGTGGTACGTCTCCTGTAGAGCTTACAGTAATTAGACTAGCAGTAAAGAGATTAAATCTATTCTTGATCTTTAACTCTAAATTGGAAGCTTCAGACTGCTTCAAGTTATACAAATCCTCTAAGGACATTGAATTGTCCTTACTAGCCAAAGCTTACTAAGT